CAAAATAATGATCTTTAAAAAAGCGTCATATGACCCCTTTAAGATCTTTTATATTTATTTATTTATCTTTAGACACGTAGCTTCCTTCCTCTCTGTCTTCAAACTTGCAGTGATTGGTTTAATTATCCTGGGCAAGGACCCTTTCACATTTTTCAACATGGAGACTCCAGGAATCTGGCTTTGGGCACGAGAATAAGGTCAGCGAGGGCCAATTATGTAGTAATGCATATCTACTTCTGTTCAAAAATGACATGTTATAATTTGGATTATGTAGTTCATAGTGGGTCTCATTCACTTATAATTGTGCCGCTGTGTAATATCTCTGCCTCTCATTTTAATCGTTATTTTTTTTATTCCTTTAGGGATACATCAATTGTATAAATACATTTATTATCAATTGTTACTTTTTTATTAACCTATTCAGTTAAAAAATGTATGCATTTTTGCTGTTAATTTTATATGAGTTGCCCACTATTTCCACGTTGTCTAAATTTTGACCTCATTTTCTCATTCGAATATCCCCCTATTTTTATTAATAAACAAATTACACCCTGTTTATATGCTTAACTTCTCACGTAAAATTCCTACTGTCAGTAGTGTAGCGACATATGAAGCACATCCCACACAGAAGCCACTTTTAAACCAACAGCTTTCTGTCAATGCAGAAAATTCTCAAGACCAGCTTGAACCTGTTGCGAAATGTGTGCGGCGAAATCTTTTGCCCTCACCCAAAATTCATGACTGCATGAAGTTCTATTGTTCTTGAAGTCATTCTGATGTTAATGAATTGGGAGAATTTATCTTTGCTTTCAGTTGTTCCTTCATTTTTTTCTTTTTTCTTTAGTAACCGTAGAATACATTTTAGTACTAAAGTACAGTTTGTTCTTGAAAATGTTTGTACACCATTTAGTGAATGAGACTTTTCCAGTAAGAACCTTTGAGCTTTTAAGCCACTGATTGATTTGACAGTGCTGGCTCAACCGATAGCTATCTTCAGAAATTACAGTGCACGTTTCAAATGTTTGAGTTGCATACTGCATGTGTTTGTGACCTCAGTTTGTGTTTTTGTTAAGATATATGCCTGTTTGGGTAACCAAACAGTTGGCCGTAACCATTAACTTCCATAGTATTTTTTTCTATACTATGGAAATCAGTAGCTA